TTGTGCCACCCCCGCCTGGTCCTATCGTGGATGCGCTCTTAATTATTTAATTAAAATGAAAAATTAATGTAAGAAAAAATGCTGAGGATTGTATTCTTATTTTTACCATAATGTGCTGCATATGTCTGTATGAAAATAAAGCTCGTGTATTACATCTAGACTGAATCATTTATTACATAAGTGACATATTAGTCAGTAGAGGCTATACCATTTAGGCACATACAACGATGTAGGTTAACACGTAAATAGAGAAAGATGAACTCTCCATAACGTCGCTAATGTTTCCTAAAAAGTGACTTTTTTAAGCTCAGTGTGGAGGCTCTGGCCGTCACCAGCTTGACAATCCCAAAATCCCAAAATGAGCAAAGAGCTGGAGCTAAGTCGGGCCGTGAAATCGTCTCTGGGTCACGGACCGTCCTAGGATGGCAGTCACCTTTCTCTCAAAATGGCCACACCCGTAATTGTGCATAAGCCTTAACACATTTTAAACAAGTGACTTGGGTAAAAAGTCACGACCTGTACAGCTGTCATCATTGGGAAAAGCAGCATCAGGTGGACATTCAAGTAACTGCAGTTTTTGGTACTTCGCTTATTTTTTTTCCACCCAGCTACTTGGTTAAAATCACATTAGTAGTTCCTCTAAATAGGTCACCATGCACCAGGCAACTTGGGTTTCAGATGCTTGTGTACACCAGCCTCAGTCACTGCCTCAGTGTGTCTGTTGTTGTTGAACTGCTGTGTTTTCTATGATGCTGACCAGAACCTTTATTCACCTCAACAGCAGAAGCAACAGGCCTTTTCTTGAGGCAGGTTTGTAAAAGAGGCAGGGCTTAATTTATCACTTCCACTGACTGATAAGTATAGATTGTTGTATTTTAGCATAAAACCACATTTTGATCTTTTGCGATTCAGCCTGTTAAAGTTACTGCAGCTACTGCAAACTCAACACTTCCAAAGTAAAAGCTCTTTCATGCTTCAGTTGACAGACATGTTTTATTTAATAGGACTTTTATTGTGGAATATTTGCAGACATGCTATGTGCAACAACAGCCAGATGGGCTAAAGAATGAGTGTGGGCTAAGACATCAACTTTAAAACCACTGATGGCGGGTGAAGTGAATACTCTCTCATCTGGTTAGACATTCTTCTGGGAGATGTTGGGTCCTGGCGTTCATGTGGATGTTTTTTTTTTACGTGTACCTTCCACACACCGATCACGGCCGCTGCACTTCCCATCGGCAGCAACCTCCCCCAGCAGGATAATGTGCTGAAAAACACCACAAACAGCCCAAGGTGTTGACACGGCCTCCAAACGTCCAAGATATCCATCTGAGCGAACACCCATTGGATGCAGTCTGATCCATGGAGGCCCCACCCAACAACCCACAGAACCCAAAGGATCCACTGCCACTGGCCTGGTGCTAGACCCAACAGAACACCACCAGACCGCCTGTGTCCATCACCCGATGGGTCAGAGGTGTTTGGGTGGCACGATGGCGACTTACATAATAACAAGCTGGTGGTTTTAGGGCTGTGGCTCAGTAAAGCGTGATTGTTGAATTTATTCAGATAAAAATGTAGAAATTCCATATGTATTGTAAAACAGGCACAAGGATTTATCCACCTTTTTCCCCGGCTTGTGTTGCTGTGATCGGTCGAACACTGAGCAGCATTTTTTTCTGCCCTCCTGATGTTCTCTGTGAGTAGCAGGCTTCTCCTCTGCTAGCGATCAGCACAACAAACCTCCACCGTTCTATGTACTGTGTGCAACAACAACTGGTCCAGTAACTACTATTTGTTGTTGCTTTGGTGCACTTGGAGTTGACATCATGGTTGATGAAGCCGTTTCTGTTTGCACCACCTCGTAGCTGCCACCAGCCACCTATCGATGATATACACATTTATGCACATTGTGGGCTTAAATGTTTTGATGTTTTGAATCATCTCACTGACGTTTTGTGAGGAAACGTATAAAATGAGACAACACTGTTTTCACACTTTAAACTCTAGTGTTTATTGGAATTTATTTGTACTACGACTGCAATGTGTAAAATAAAAATAAAACCCAAAAGTTTGCAACACAAAATATTCTGACAGAGATAAATAATCCAATAGGTTTGCAGATACTAAGTGTTAAACAGTTCCTATAAAAAAGTATTCAAGAGTTCATTGAGGTTCAATTTGAGCTTTTTTTAAACCATAGCACTTTCCCATAAAGCTCTGACTAGAGAAAAACAGAACACAGCTGCAGTGAAGACTTATGCAATCACTGTTGTTTTTACAATATTTTCAATACATTGACATTAATTTGTAGGAATCTTTGTAGGATTTTAATTATTTGCTTTTTTTTTTTTTGTAAATTCTTCTCAAAAAATCTCAAATAAAATGACCATTAAGGAAGAAAAGTAAAACTTTAATGTGAATACGTTTCATAGGAACTTCAGTTGGGCCAGAATGTGGTCTGAGACTTTAACTGGAGTTTCAAAGTAGGCCTTGTCTTTAAGCTAGTGACATTTTCTCAGCGGGAGAAATCAGATCAGGGTTGATAAAGTGGTCCAGAAAGCAGGCCAAGTTATTGGCATCGAAATGGAAATATATGTGTCGGTGAGGGACAGGAGGACCATCCACTATACCCACTACACCGGACTGTAGAGGGACAGCAGAGCTCTTTCTCCAACAGACTCATGCAGCTCCAGTGTAAGAGTGAGCGATACAGGACTTCATTTATGCCGTTCTCCTTTCATCTGTATCACCTCTCTGCATCAGATAACTCCTCCACTCATATTTTTGCACATGTGTTACAGTAGCATTTCTTTAATTTTTATCTTTATTATTACTATTATTCTTATTATTCTTTCTTTACTTGGCAAAAAAAACAAACTGTAAAATTGTGAGTTGTAAAGTGTACATATGGAAATCGTTGTATCATATTCTTTTTTTCCTGCTTGCTTTTTTACTACTTATTTTTATTTCTTTTTTTTTTGTACATTCTTATATAATCATTTATTTTATTTTGTGCTACTGTGATAAAACAATTTCCCTTGTGGATCAATAAAGTTAAGTGTCTGCTTCCTTTACGAACACCGGAAGTACTTCCTTACGTATCTCCTGAAGGTCTGGTCTCGTAGTCCGTAGACAATCGGACTGACAAACCGTGGCAGGATTTGGACAATGACATAAAAAGTAAAGCGTATGCTCAGCAGCTGTTTGGGCATGAGGTAGATCAGGCCTTGTTCGAGCATGGGTCTCACATAGGAAAGCATGCATAAGAGCAGCTGAAAGCCATGGAGGAGAATAGTGTTTCTGGCTTTTTTCATGTCTGTAGATGCCCCTTTAGCAGCAAACAGAATCCTAAAGTAAGTATAAAAGAGTGTGAGCCAAACCAGGACCAGACAAACAATGTGTGAAACGTCTCGCTTCTTTGTGGTTCCTCTGAACACATAATCTCTGGCACAAAACACTTTAGACTGAAACAACTCCAGAGGCTCTGTAGCCAGGAGGAAAAACAGGTCTGGTAGGACATAAAATGCACTCGCAACCCAAATCAGACCAATAAGAATGTAGGTTTTCTTGACCGAACAGATCTGGCCGTGACGGAGGGGCATGCAGACGGCGATGTAGCACTCCACTGCCATGCCAGCCAGATTTAGCGGGGTGTTTTGGGTGGTGGCGACAGCAATGGTCAGGATGATGACGCAGAAAGGCATGGCGATTTTGAACAGGGCATAGCTGACGACATGGAGAAGAGTTGACAGGGCCAGCTGCATCATGTCATTTATCACCAGGTGGATGAACAGGATGTAGCGGGGGTTTGAATTGAGGATCTGCAGGATACAATAAGTGAGGAAAAAGAGATGCAAAACCAAGAAGAAATAGCAAGTTGTTAGTCTGTCATTACATTGTCTTTGTAGTTGTCGCTTTTTTCACAGTAAGCTTTAGATACAATTAACTATAACTGGCTCACAAAAAAGACAATAATGCATTTTATAATGATGACATTCAAAATTATTTCAGCCCATTTATCTCAAACATATGACCAATAAAGGAACAGATCTCTGTTTTATAAAGGATGATGATATGCAGTCGTCCTCAAATGTATTCACACCCTTCCATTAAAGAAAAGGCAAAATTCACAAAAGTCACTCAAATAACTAGAAACTGAAAAAAGTACCAATAAATAAAAATTTCCTAAATTATAATTTAGTAAAATAAGACATTGCTTTTGAATTGTGGTTGAAAAGAATAATTTAAAAAATAAATAAATAAAAATTAGAGCACTTTGACTGTATATGTATATAATGCCAGAATCTGATGAATGAATCTGATGATGCTCGATATTGAATTTTTACTATGCCGATAGTTTCCCTCCCACATTTTTTTCATCCAAACTGCAGAGAACATCAAGTCTCTTGGAATGAACATTATTATGCCCAGTGTCATTGTGATGGCCCAGATTTGGACATCAAATATAACACTTTTTAAATACACATGGCAACATATAAAGCTACTTTAATTTACATGTAAAATGTACGAAATGTATTTTTATTTAACAATTTAAAAAAATAAAAAACTGTAAACCTTCAGCCTGACTGGTGCTATCTACCTGTCAGTGGGACAATAAGATATTTATGTTTTATTTTACATTCTTCATCGACCAATATCAATGATGATGATAATATCACTGTGCATCCCTGTTGGTGTCTGTGTGATAAGAAAGAAAATATACAGAATAAATACACAGATTTCACTGAATATGGCTGAATATGGGGTTTATGAGGCATAAAATCAGGGAGCATTAACATTAGAGAATATGGCACACCATGTGAATATTTCTAATCCTTTCTTTTAGACTGATAAAATTCTTCTAGTTTTTCTTTAACCTGTTGGTTTGCTACATATGTGAACTGTGCAGGTGCATCATTTAGGCCTATTCAGCTCATCACAGCTTATTAACTGATATTTTTCTTTTACAGCTTTGAGAGAATGATCTTGACATCAGTTTACTTAAAGCTGTGTGTGAGAGAAAAGGATCTCATTCTTCTTGACATACAGTATACATAAACAATGCAAGATTTCAGACCTGGTGCTTCCTGAAGGTGTGCAGCAGAGTTCCATTGATGTAGTTAATGGAGATGCAGAGGACTGTGACGATCACATTCTTGATCACAGCTGTGGTAAAGCTGTCCCGCATTTGCCCAGCTGCACTGACAGTGTTGTTGACAGAAGACAAGTTCATGTCTGAAACGAACATAAACAGACTTCATTGCAGGTTATAGTGTGTCCTTCATAGCGACAAGGTTGAAAGAAAATCCCGACAAAGCCAGTTTAACATTCAGTAAGCTGCAATTAATTACTTTTTTGTGGATAATGAATCTAAATCACACAAAAAAATGCACGATCCAAAAAAAAACATATTACATACACTATCTAAAGACATGCACAATAACACAGTGTTTGGATCTAATAACACCTGTAAGCATGAACAGACTGTACTCACCCAGTAGGATGTCACATAACACCGAGCTGCTGTGGATGTTGTGGAGATTATATAAGATGACAGATCGGCCAGTGAGGATTATTTGTGTTTTGTGTGTGTGTGTGTGTGTGTGTGTGTGTGTGTGTGTGTGTGTGTTCATGTTGTCAGGTGTGGTTTTTTTTAAGGAATATTTGAGTGTTTTGGGAAATGAACACATTTGCTTTCCCTCCAAGAATTATATTAGTGTTGTTTAAAACCAAATTTCTGATTTTGATGCGATATCTGCTTAAATACATTTATACAGAAACAATGTCATGGTATTAGTATTACTATGATGATTGTTATGATTATATAGGAAGGAGAGATTTACTGTAACACAGTGCTGACAGACATTTTCGTTTCCCACCACAACTGGAGGAACTCTTCATAAAGACCAGCTCTTTACACGTTCATATTTATTCATCTTCACATGTGTTTCTGCTGCTTCTAAAAGTTTCACGAGCAAAGACCACGCCAACAATTTGAAGCTTGAGTGTTTATTGGATGCAGATGAGCGTTATGTTGGTTTTGACTGAGCTAGGCTGACGCGGCGTGGGGAAAAGTTTAGTCGGGGATCAGAAGACCACACAAAATAAATCACATCATATGATATATTTAGGGCTGCAGGGTGGCACAGTTGGTAGCACTGTTGCCTCGCAGCAAGAAGGTTGCCGGTTCGCGTCCTGGTGGGGGCACCGGAATCTTTTTGCGTGGAATTTGCATGTTCTCCCCGTGCAGCGTGGGTTCTCTCCGGGTTCTCCGGCTTCCTCCCACATAGTCCAAAAACATGTTGAGGTTAATTGGTGATTCTAAATTGTCCGTAGGTGTGAATGTGAGTGTGCTTGGTTGTCTGTCTCTAAGTGTAGCCCTGTGATAGACTGGTTACCTGTCCAGGTGAACCTGCCTTCAACCTGACTCAGCTGGGATAGACTCCAGCCCCCCATGACCCTAGTGAGGATTAAGCGGTGTATAGATGATGGATGGATGGATGATATATTTATGTTATCTATGTGATGGAGACAGGTGATGATTACGAAAAGTTTATTAAAGAAAGAAAGTTAATGCAACCCACTTCAGGAAAGGAGAACTAAACGTACGGGAAAACAAAACAGGAGCAAACCAAACCTCATTCAAAAAAGGGGGAAACTCCAAAAACCTAGGAGACAGGTTTCAGATTGGCAGGAAAACAGGGTTCTAATGTCTACGAGGTGTGTCAGAAAAGTTCCAGGACTGGTGTCACAAAAGATATATTTCAAACCCAAACTACAAACTACGAGTTTTCCCCTTCAGACAATCAACCAGCACGTCTACAAAGAGATCCTGCTGCGTTTGCTTCATTCAGAGGGCAAGACAAGTGGTGGTTGCTTCACCATGACAATGCGCCTGCTCACAACGCCCTGAGCATCCCACAGTTCCTGGCTGAGAAGACCATGGCCGTGCTGGAGCAACCTCCCTACTCACCCCACCTGGCTTGTAGTTTGTGGTTGAAATATACCTTTTGTGACACCAGTCCTGCAACTTTTCTGACACACCTCGTATGGTCTGGTAGAGAGTGGAGGAGTGAGCGGAGCTTTTATGGGTCTGTTTGATTAGATGCAGGTGAGCCGATCCTTACAGCAGTCTCCAGTACCAGGAACACTGCACGAATGAGTGGAAAGACAGAGAGGGAGAGTAAGTCCAAGGAAAGGCCGAAGGAGAGGGAGAGAGAAGGAACGGGAGCTGGGCAGGGGCAGAGGGTCCTGACAATCCATCACATTTGCCAACCTGTCAATTCTTTAACCCTCTGATCAAGTCGACATGCCTGTGATGCTTTGCCAAGGTGGACGTACTGACTCCCTCAGTCTGCAAAGGTTACATATCTTACAGATGTTGTTTGTGGTGTCTGTGGACTGAAAGTGAAATTGTGCTATATTTTGCTTTGTGACTCTACTTTTTGTACACCAGGACAATTAGTGGATGGTCGACAAAATCACTTGTATTTGCAGCCATCCATTCATCCATCCATCCATCCATCCAGTATCCGGGTTCGGGTCATGGAGGCAACAGGTGAAGCAGGTCATTCCAGACGTCTTTCGCCCCAGTCAAGCTTTACAATTCCTCCAGGAGATGCTGACCCATTCTCAGGTTAGATGAGATATATAATCCCTCCAGCGAGTTCTGGGTCTACCCTGGGGTCTCCTCCCAGCTAGACATGCCCAAAAAAACCTCCAAAGGAAGTTGCCCAGGAGGCATTCTAATCAGATACCAAAGTCACCTCAACTAGCCGCTTTCAACAGGAAGAAGCAACGATTCTGCTCTGACCTTCTCACCCTATATCCAAAACTATCCAGCCTACGGAGGAAACTAATTTCTGCTGCTTGTACCTGCGATCTCATTCTTGCAGACAATACCCAGAGCTCATGACCATAGGTGACGGTTGGAATGTAGATCGGCTAGTAAATTCAGAACTTTGCCTTCCGGCTCGACTCCTTCTTTGCCACGGCTGTCTGGTACAACGCTGATGCCACACCAAGCCGCCTGTCCATCTCACGGTCCATTTTGGCATCACTTGTACCAATTGAAGCTTGGACTCAAGAAAAACTCAGAGAGGATTCATTATCAAGACATTTTCTTTAATAGGAAATGATCTGAGTTAGTCATCCCCGCAGAGAACAATAACTGAATTCTTACTGTGCAGATATGTTTAAAAAAAAAAAAAGGTTAGTGTCTCATTCCTGTTTCCAATGTCTTCAGGCTCTTACTGCCAATTGGAATCTGCCATCCATGATATTTGATTGCTTTAACCGTCCAATGGATGATGAAAATTCTCCTACTTTTTGGTTTTGGACACAGAACCAGGCGTAAGGGAATCTGGAGACTTTCTGTTCTTTAGAACCAGATACGGTTTACGGATCTTTCAGACCCTTAAAAGGATGATATATCTTCATCCAAGGCTAGCCTGATAGGGAGAACAGTGGAAAGAACTTTCTGGGAAATGTCGGCAGCAGTTGTTTTGAACATTCCATTCGTCTGATCTAATTTGAAACAAAGTCAAGGTTCCAAACAAAAAGGTAGTCTGTCTGTCTGGACAAAACATTTGACTAACTACATTAAAGAATAATATTAATAATATTACTTCTACAACTTCTTCTACAACGCAGTCATGAACAAAACCCTGAGATATCAAAACTCGCTTGAGGCAGCGACTCCCCCCCAACCCAGAGGACCAATCTAACAGATTCCAGCTGTCAACTATGGCTTCAGACTTGGAGGTGCTGACATTCATCCTGACCACTTTAAACTTGGCTGTAAGCCACCGCAGTGTGCCCTGAAAGTCACAATCTGATGAAGCCAACAGAACCACATCGTTCACAAAAAGCAGAGACTGAGCTCCCCAAACCAGACCTCCT